ATAGATAAAAATAAAGAGACAAAGTTCATTGCATCTTGTTTATGCGATTAAAATAAAACAAAATATTTTGTGGTGATTAAAAAAATTAAAAAAAACAAAACAAAACAAAATACTCCTCCGGTCTTTAATATAGGATTCAATTGGTGAGTTGGTTTTGGTCCTAAATATAAGACTCATTTTTCATATTTATCAATTTTCTCTAAATTACCCTTATGGATACTCCTTCAACTATAACCAAATAGAAGAGGAAGATGAGGTATTAAGAAAGATGATTATGGTATTTTAGGAAAAACGTGTCACATTTTTTATAATTAACTAACTTACCTAACTTTCTTAATCTAATCAAATTAGTTAAATGGGTCTTATATTAAGGACCGAAGGAGTATTATAAAATAGAATTAAAAAAAATTAACCCACCGTTAAGGTTTACGTGGCTAACTTCGCCGGGCGGGGGATCCGCCGTTGTGGCCTTGTGGAGATTTGGTGGACATATTTCGGCACAAGGAGCCAACAATTATTTTATTTTTAAAAATAAAAAAGGATAATTGCCATTGGGCCGGCCAATTGAGTATGATGCAGAGAATCATTACCCAGGGTGTGAGAGAATCCACGTGCTATGAGACACGTGGAGACAAAGTCGTTCGTCAAAATTCAGACATGTCGGTGTCATATTTCCACGTAGCTTTGTCGTTATCCTACCGGATATACCAATGTCGAATAAACAACTTAGCGAGGGAGTTGCGTTCACGTACATACGCGCTTATTCTATGCATGCATCACGGTTCGGGGGATTCTTTGACTTTTGACCTCATCTTTTTGGTCAAACGAATCCTTGAATCCATTAGGATCCAACCTACGGGACGTTCCTTCGTTAAAGTTTATCCCATGTTTATTTTCAATATGCTCCCTCCTTTTTAATACTCCTCTCTGATCCTTAATATAAAATCTATTTAACTAATTTAATTATATTAAAAAAACTAAATAAGTTAGTTGATTATAAGAGATGTGATATATTTTTTCTAAAATACCATAATCATCTTTCTTAATATCCCTTTCCATCTTCTACTTGATTATGGTTGAGGGAGTATCCATAGAGGTAATTTAGAAAAAATTGATAAATATGAGAAATGATTCTTATATTTAGAATAAAAACCAACTCAAGAATTGGATTCTATATTAAGAACTATAGGAGTATAAGATTTTATTTAATTTTTATTTTAATTCTAAATGCGATATTCTAATTTCTTTTGTTTTTTATGCTTATATTTTTTTTAAGATAATCTTTCTAATAATAACAATTCTAATCAATACACTTGATTAGTGAGGATATTTTAAAAAAGAAAACATTTATTTATTACAAATAACTAACTTAACTTATTTTTTTGATCTACTAGTATTAGTTAACTAACTCTCATATTTAGGACCGGAGGTAGTATTTTGCTGGTAATTATACTTTGTTTTTAATTTCTAATTTAATACCTGTATATTTCTATTTTTTAATTAGATATTTTCATTTTGCCATTTTAGCATTGTTAACTTGTGTACAGGGACTAACAATACTAAAATTACAGGAGCTAAACATATTAATTGTGGAGTTTATAATTTTTTTTGGAGTTTATAAATTTAAAAATAATTTATTGGCCGATAATATATTGGCGGTACAATGCACCTGGAGAGAGATTGTGGGCATAGTATGGATTGGATGAGGGAGGAAGAGTGACAATTTGTAGAGAAAGGAACGATATCACGTCATGGAGGCATCATGTAGCCCTGCTCTCTGGGCCATACCTGCCACACACGTAATTTCATTATTGCCCTTCCAATAATAATAATAATAAGCCTTGAATTTTGGGAATCAGTTTTGGAATCTTGTATGAATCCCGTGGGCTCCTATGGCCTCATCTTCGCCCCCTGGTTCTCAAGCTGTCTCCTTCTCCCGCTCATTGTATGTATCCTTTCTGAGTCTTTTCTTTCATATTTTCTTTCTTTCCCTTCATTTCCTCACCTACCAAACTCACCCTCCCCCATTTATGTTCCCATTCTCTTCTTCTATTCTAACTACATATGGTGAGTATAGAAATTACATAATTCCTTTTTCAATATTAAAAAATTAGCTAAATTTTAAAAAAATTCGTGTCGTTTTTTCCCTAAAAACAGTCCTTTTAATTTTCATTACTATTATTTGAATTTAAAAGATTTGTATTGACGACCTGGATCATTACAAGCGGGATAAAACTGTGACTTCTTGCTTTTATGTAACTAAACTAAAATATCATTTACTCCTTTTGATTATTTGTATTGGTACAAAAAGCCCCAGATCTGTCCCCGCCTTAAAAGAGATGTCACATCTCAAGTTTGGATAGAAATCAAATTATAATTTTAAAAGTACTTTTACGGTATACGAAGTAAATACGTGAAGGAGTTTGTCTCGTTCTGTAGAGAATGACTTTTAGGTGCTTCCAAACACCCTTTTATACATACGGGTTTGTACGTTAAATATTTGTGCATGTTATATTTTGATCCTCATGGAGAACAATTATTTGCATTGAAAATTATTTTCTTAATGAAAAATTCCTTGATTTTTAGAGACAAAGTAAAAAATATTTTATATTTAGAATTAAATTAAATTTCTATGTTAATTCTTATGTTTAGAATGAGAGAGCATAGAATATCATCACTTGAAATAAATTACTCCTCCGTTCATAAATATAAGACCCATTTTGTAGTGTAATTTACACTATAAAATAGATTTTATATTTAAGATCGGAGGAATATATTATTTATGATTATAAACACCAACTCGTTGCTTTTAAAAAAAAAAAATTACACACACACATACAAGTCATCAAGATCTCTCCTTTTCTTTTCCTAACACAATACTATTAAATGAGAGAAGTTTTATATATGTTATTATTGACATCATAATAAAAACAGTGACTCTCTCTCTCTCTCTCTCTCTCTCTCAAAAAAGGTGAGAAGTTCTCTCAAAATTTCTCTCATTCAAACTTGAACTTATAGAAATGGGCATTTTTATCAAAATGCTACACATAGTCAAATAAATTATCAAGTTATCATTTGATGAGAACTGTTTCTCAAAATTCTACTCCTCTATTTCTAAATGTAAATGTAAAATTTATTTTGCAATATAAATTACATTTCAAAATAACTTTTATACTTAGGACCCGAAGGGTATATTAAAATTCTGTTTTTGCCGGACATAAAACTCGTTCTTCCAGCAAACAGCTTTATTGAATACTTCTCACCATGTGGCATGTTGACAATTTACCTTACTGTTTGTAGCATCGTGAAGACTTTCTCGTAAGCCTTTTCAAAATTTCTCTTACAATCTTTTCCCAAGAGAAAATTATCATCTAAGGAGACAGATGATTGCAACTATAAACCGTTTGATTAAATTTACTAATTTGTGAAAGTTTTAATGAACCTAGACCGTTGCAATTTTATCAAAATGGCTCAAAACCAAAACAATGGCATAGCGGAAAAGAATCAAATCCAACAGAGGCCTTTGTCAGAGTTTGCTGCGGCTCTTGAGTTCCTGATTTTCAAAAGAGAAAGAAGTTTTTTTTTTCTCATTACATTCAATTTAAACCCATACAAATTTAATTTAAATTTGAGACCTCGTTCAAACGTGAGGAATGGCTCTGCCACTAATCAATCTATCATGAAAAAAGAGAGGAGAAGGTTGTTAAATGGTCACATTGATAAGAAAAGAAGGAAATTATGATTAAGATGAGAGGAAGCATGTGTTAGGTTGGATGATGAGGACCAAGAACTGTTTTTTTTTTATTTGATCTGATTTTTTTTATTTTTTATTTTAATTTTTTGGTGGTTCCAAACTTGGATAATCTCTGGGTTGCACATGTTGAAACCTTAGTGGTGGCAGAGAGCACATTCACAGGAACCAATAATAATAATAAGAGTGTATAAAAATATAATTGGAATGGAAGTACTAATTAATATCTTAGGGATGAAGTAAATTTGGGGACAAGAATCAAATACTAAATTGCAATGAAAGCATTCAGATTTGTCAGAGACTGAACCGCCCATGTGCTGCTGCCTCTGAATTCTGATCCTAATTTGTACCATTCAAGTAATTTTCAATGCAGCTACCTCCGCAACCATGGTTCGTTCTTTTTTTAAAAAATAATTGTGTTCCCATTTCACAGTACAAATGGAGCCGCCCCAATTATTAATTTTTACTTTTTTTTTACATCCACCTTTTTTCTTGTTTGTTTTTGTCATAGGTCTCATTGTTTTCTTTTCATAATATGAAGACACACAGTCTCGTATTTTACATCAGATTCTCATTCTCAGATGGTGTTTGTGTGTCCACACACACACACACACATAATGGACATCAAATTATTTGAATATTGCATCCCTTGTGGTGTCAAGAATCTCACTGAAATTATTCTGCAAAGTCTTTATATATAGTTCAAATATTTCTTTGTTTTTGGGCCTGAACTTTTTGCTTTTGAAAATGACTATCAGCCTGCCCATTTGGTTGGGCTCAATCTCAGCCCAACTAGAGATTCGGGCTTTTGTGATGAAGGGGAAATTTTTTGGGCCAGAAAAGCCCAAGGTTTGAGCTGCCCGCGGCCCCTCATGGGGGAGGGGGAGGCTTGACCCAAAATTGAATCCCGTATTGGAATTAGCGTTTATCAGTAATAAGTGATTATTTAGTGCATGCTTGGTTTCCAACAGAAAACCAAACACACCATTGATGAGAGGAAGAGCTATTTAGCTTACAGTTAGGGCTATCTTGAGATGATCTCTGTGTGCCACTAGCAAACATGAATGAAGAACAGATCAGACATACTCAACAAACGATATTATAGCAAAATGATGTGTGTGTGTGTGTAATACTTAACTCATTTTGTGGACGGTTGATGGTTGATAAGGACTAATGACCTTATCTTACAAACCTCAAAACCTCAAAAACCTTATTTTACAAACCTCAACGGCTCTACTTTCAAGTCCTGTTGAATGGGCCTGGAGTAGTCTTCGGAGCATAAAAACTCGCATTTGCTGCAACAGTTGAGGTCTTTATGGGGAAGTTTTGGTTGATTTTCAATCCATTATTGGGAGGCATTCTTGAGGATTAGCATAGAAATAATCCTCCAGCTTGGGTTTTACTGGAAACTGGGATCTTACTGTTGGACCACCTCTTCTGTTAGCATGAACTTCCTTCACAGCTTTAGCAAATTCATCCCAACTCAGCTTCCCCATCTTGTATTGATCTATTAAACGCACTAGAATATACCGGTTTGGAGTTATTGTGGTTCTAAACCCCAAGTACCTGCAGAATAATTGGTCTCATTATATGAATTTGGTCAAAAACTTGTTTAGGGAAAGTTATAGATGAGTCCCAGGCCAAAAATTAATTACTAATACATCTCCCGGAGAACTTGTGCAAAAAATCACAATATGAGTTGTAAATTTCTAAGTTTAAGTCATAAATATTGCAGGAGGACTTTCAAAAAAATATCAGTTAAATTCTAAACCAATGAATTCGATTTTTTTTTTTACGCGTCCTCCTACTATAATCAACTTGTTGGGAGCTATATGTAGTTTTCTCAAATTCTTAGGTATTTTGAGTTCATAAGATATACCTTCTGTGGCCTTCAACAACTTTAGCCATATTGCCAGGAAAGGTAGGCATAAAAATGTCACTTTCTATCGAGACAATATAATCCAATGCTGCCATCCTGTTTGAATGGTTTTGGAAGGGCTCAAAATCAGAGGGTTCTAATAATGTTTCCTTTTTAACCTGTTTCATGGGCAAAGTATATCAGCAAAAGCATATTATACCAAAGCACACAATATATAAGTTCAATCGTGGTTTTACCATATTTGGGAAAGCTTTTCTTAGAGGTGCCATTCTTCTTTCTCCCCCATATATATCCCCAGCTGCTATGTATATTTGCATTTGAGGATCAATGTCTAATGCCCTTAATGTCAGAGCAGTTTCCTCTGGAGTTAAAGGGCATAAACCATTTTGCCTTTTCCTTTGAGGGTCTATTTCCTTCTCTTTCCACCATGGATATGCGTACCTGGAGAAACAAAACTCCTAAAATGACTCTAATCTATAAAAGAGAAGGAAATTAAATTGATCATATATGAAACTTTTTCTCTAATAAGAGCTATTTTAAGACAGACTTGTGTGGATCTTTATTGTATATTTTGTGAGCGTCAATGATCTTTGTGCTGACCTCATTTCTGTCAGTACTTCCCTTTCTGTTTTATTGCAGCCTTCATAGCAACCAGAGAATGCCAACATGTCCATTTCGTATCTGAGGTGAAGAACTAAGAAAGGACCTTTTTTCCTCAGAATTCTTACAATTTTCTTCCCAACTTCTTGTATCGGAGCTGTGAATCGCAGGGCCTTGTAATTCACAAGGCAGCGCAGCTTTTGAATATCCACAGGAATGCCATTGTTGGCAATCCTAGCATCAGCTTTTGAAAAATGAATCACCCCATACTTTTTAACTCGAGGAAGAATCTGTAGTGTGTACACAAGATGCACGTAATATCTGCCATGCTCAAATAAGAGACCTTCATGCAAAAAATGAACCTCAGGTCTTTTCTGAACGGTGAAATAAAAGATATTGGGAACTTACTGAATCATGATAGTATGACAAGTTGGACCAACTAGCTGGTGGCATAGAATAAAGGTATCTTGTCTCCAGCTTCTTCTTCTCCTCGGGAGGAAGTTCCTTCAATATTTTTACTTCATTTCTCAAAGAGCTAATGAAATAATCTACGTCGAATATGTCTTCAAAACGACTGCGAAAATAAAAGGACAAGTGAATGTTGCAGAGTGATGAGAGCTCTTAAGCAATGATAAAATTTGGTCCATTTTTGAGCATAACTACCTACTGTCGTGCCAAAAGGAGGTATTGTCCAGCTCAGGAACTATGAATGTTAGATTTAAATATCTAGCAATGACTGCCATATCACTTATCTGCAGCAGAAAATTATCATGATCATGAATAAAAAATGGCTCAAGTGCCATGAATTTATAAAAAGGGGATTCAAATTTTGCTGATATACTCACACCAGCTCGCATTTGGTTCAATCCTCCATTGGCTGACACCATCAGATACCCATTGTTCTGGTAAGCCCCTGAAGATCAACATATCATGGAGTACACTAAAAATCAACTGGTTGCTTTTACTTTTTTTTTTTTTTTCCCTGCAGAAGTGTGGCTATTTATATTTGGTGGAGAAAAACACAAATGAAGATAGACTATTCTATTCGATCATGATCAATCATAATAAAGTGACATGCATGTATCCCCCTTAATTATCATATTCACGCATTAAACTCACGATATTGATATCTAAATTTTTGCATGGTGGTCAGCATAAGAGTGAGGCATTCCCCTCTATGCTCTATCTTTGAATATGATTTTATGTAGTTGTTTTCATGACTACAAAGGATCCAACTTGACATGGAATAGACCATCTAAATCTATCTCCTTATTCAATCTTAATAAAAAAAAGTAAGATTAACTAGTAAAATTGCAATGCGTAAGAAGATCAGATAATATTCTTGAAAGAGTTGAAGATTGAAGCAGCTTACATTCTCAAAAATTTCAACTTGCATAATTGCTATGCAATTATGGAATCTTTCTAGTCTAGTAGATAAATGATGCAGGAAATTATTATTTGTATTCATGACTACAACGGAAAAGGATCCAATTCGATATGGAATAGACCCTCTAAAGCTATCTCATTATTCAATCATTGTTAAATATACATACATACATACATGCATACATACATACATACATACATACATACATACATACATACATACATACATACATACATACATATATATATAAGATCAACTAGTAAAATAGCAATGGACAAAAAGATCAGATTTATATTTTTGAAAGACTGAAGCAGCTTACATTCTTAAAAATTCGAACTTGCACAACATGAGTGGATGTGAAGCTATCATGGAATTCTTATTGTATAGCAGATAACCAAGCAGGAATTAAAGCAAGCATATGGTGGACTCACTTTCTGGTGGACGCAAAAGGACTGGATAAGAAGAACGCAGCGATGAGATCCTTACACTCATTGTGTCATTACATGTTGTGCTCTCCAACAGAAGTATGCCCACCAACAACATGGCAATGGCTACAAGCAATAGAAGTTTGATCTTAGTCAGTGAAGAAAGAGAACTTATGCAACTCCTCAGATTGTCGCCTTTAACCCAATATTCCATACTAACAAAGTTTCTGGGTTTCTCAGCTTTAATCAGAATCAACTTGTTCAATATCTCCAATTCAACACCTCCAGCATCCTTAGTCTTGTTCACTGCTACTGCAAATTTAGGCTCTCCATTACCACCAATCTTTTCTTTCTCCATCTTCATCTTCACTTCCCTTCTCTCTACATGTAAAACCCAGAAAGTTGATGCATGCTTGATGAATAAATGTTAAGCTTCATATTACAGCTTCGACTAAGCTTAGAAAAAGTGGTCTCCTCGCCAGCTTTACCCTCAAGCTAGTTGTAGGAGCCACCCTCCTTGCATTGTTGTGCTAAATGCTTTTATGTATAATAAATTAATGTTAAACGTGTGTGTGTTTCATTTACTTTTTAGATAACGAAGCATTAAAAGGCATTAAGTTATGACAAATCCTTTGTTCTCAATGTTTAAAATTGCTGAACTGATTTGAAAATGAAGTAATCTCCATATGAATAAATATGATATTAATATTAAAAGACTAAGGAGTATGTCTCGCAATCCTTTTTCATGATATTAATAAATATGCTAACATCGTGTAATTATGGTGCAATGAATTGGCGACGAGAAATGACAAGTTTGAAAGCTTATCAGTAATTACGTTACGCGGAAGCTATATTAATATAGTAATTACAGCTTGAATAGACTGATGGTCTTTTAATTTCTTGACGAGAATATATATAATAACTTCAATATAGTTCTATCATTTAAGCTCCTTTAATTTATTATACTAAATCAGGTTCTTAATATAAGAGCTAATTGTGGGTTGAATTTGGCATGTTAATCCAATTTGTCTTCCATCTTTTTTTTAAAATATTCCCATTGATTTTAAGAGGTTCCTACTAAGAAATACTCATTTGATCCTATTTATAAGATAGAGAGAGAATGTCTTTTTTAGTCCTATTTATAAAACACTTCATTAAATTTTTAGCAAGAAGGTACATTTTTATCCTTCATTTATTATAGTGTAGACAGTTATTTTTTTAAAATGTGTATATATTAAATGGGGTAAAGTTGAAAAGTTATTATATTTTAATAGAGAGTTAATGCAGTTTAAGGTTTTTTTTTTTTTGGTCTGTATGAAACATGTTAGAAGTGCTTTATAAATAGGACTAGATGATTAACTCAAATAATCTAATGCACATGATTGATGAGGATATTTCAAGGAGACTAACACATAGTTGTGACAAATAGCTAATTTAACTAATTTTCTTGATATCTCAAAATTAGTTATCTAGCTATTATGACCGGAGATACTACCTTCGATTCTAAACATAAGAACTAGTTGACTAATTTGAATAGATTAAGAAAACAGGTCAAATTAGTTATTTGTAATAAATAGGTATTATTTTTCCTAAAATATTCTTACTAATCAAGTTTATTAGTTAGAATTATCATTACTAGAAGAACTATCTTGAAAAAAATGAATAAATATAAGAGATAAAGCGAATCGGAATCTTACATTTAGAACCAAAAGGTCTTGTATTAAGAACCAGAGGTAATAGTATATATATTGTTTTAATCTATCACTAAATATAACCATAATTCGCATTTAAATTCACAACAATTAGTGATCCATGTGGATTGATTGAACAAGAGATTTATCATAATATTGTGATTGCGACTCATTGTTGTCTTCTTCATTTACCTTGTGATTTCATTTTGTAATTCTATGACGAAAGTGTTCCGTACCATGAAACACGTTAATTTTCGTGTTTGGATCAATAATTTGTAATATATTATAATAATAAATTTAAGAGTTAATTAATTCAAGCAACCAAAAAAATTTAAAACTTATTGTCACTATCACGATCACAAATTCAAATCAATTTAATTTGATTGGAGGCGTAGTTATGTTATACAGACATTTTGTATTTAAAGATGTCAACATTGCTTAATTTCTGTCACAGGGACATGCATGGTGGATTTAACTTCCGAGATGTGGATATAGGTGATGCCTGAATGCTGGATAGCATTTAAAATTTATCAATAATGAATTTTTTTTCCCTTTTTCTCTTTTTGGAACTTAGCTATAAATAATAAATATTTACTAAATACTTAAAAAAATTTAAAAAAATTAACCATATGACTTGCTCAGTTTTTTTTTTTTTTTTGTTTTGACAGGAGCAGCAATACATGTCAATACCCAAAATAGATTCATTATTGCAGAGTCAATTTCCCCTTGGCCTTTGCAAGGTTACAACTATATCCCATACACATAAAAAAGGCTGATTCATAATAATAATAAATAAATAATACTGACAAAAATATCTTATAATACATCTTTGAAATGAATTCTTCTTCTCCCCTTCTCTGAAAAAACTTGAAAAATGAATTAATTCATAAAATTCGTCTGAACTTGACGTTCAAAACTTGAGAAAACCTGAACAATCTGGAGCTTTGGAACCCAGTTCATCATCAATGTAAGGAAGCATCAAGTGGTGGCAAACACTCTTGTGGATTAGTATAGAAGTAGTCCTCAAGCTTGGGTTTACCAGGAACCACTGTTCTTGTAGTAGGATCGCCTATATGATCTGCATGAGTTGCCTTCACTAAACTGGAGAATTGTTCCCACTTCAATGTCCCATTTTTGTACTGGTCTATCAGTCCCACCAGAACTTTTCTGTCTAAAATTATTGTTTTCCTGAATCCCAAGTACCTGAAACCAAACATATACACATACACACTTAAACCTTTTCCTGTATAGTTTAGCTTAGAATTTATGTTTACTGGGCTAAAAAACTGAACCTTCTGTGGCCTTCAACAACTTCTGCCATGTGGCCCTTGAAAGAAGGAACAAAAATGTCACTTTCTATAGAGACATAGTAATCCAGTGCTGCCATCTGGTTTGAGTGATTTTGGAAAGGTTCAAGTTCTGATGCTTCCAATAATGTCTCCTTTTTAACCTGCATTAAGGCACGTGCACATGTATATTTACACAGGGAAAGTGATTAGCAAGTGATGCTTAACAGTTGCAGAAATGAAAATATTGTATAATACTAACCAAATTCGGAAAAGCTTGTTTGAGGGTTTTCATTCTTCTTTCAGATTTGTATATATTCCCAGCTGCAATGTAAACTTGAATGTTTGGATCAATGCCCAATGCTTGAAGTGTTAGGGTCGTTTCTTCTGGGGTTAAAGGACACAAACCATCTCTCCTTTTCTTCTCTGAGTCTATCTCTTTCTCTTTCCACCATGGAAAAGCATACCTTAATTTCCCCCAAAAAATTGGTTAAACAGATCAAAACATCATGTCAAAGCAGTGATAAAGATTTAAATCACAAGAGGGGGAAGATTGCCAACCTCATTTGTGTTAACTCATCAACCTCTTGCTGGCTGCAGCCTTCATTGCAACCAGAGAAAGCAATCATATCCATTTCATATCTGAGATGAAGAGACAAGAAAGGCCCTCTCTCTTTAAGAATCCTAATAATCTTCTTAGCTACTTGCTCAATCGGAGGAGTAAATCTCAGAGCTTGGTAGTTCACTCTGCACCTTAGTCTCTGAACTTCCTCAGGAATCCCATTGTTTGCTAGCCTTGCATCTGTTTTTGTGAAGTGCACTACCCCATATGTCTTTATGCGAGGTAGAATCTGCATATATTAATAACATATAACAATGTCAGAACCTAATCTCCAAAAAAATTTTCATTCTAAGTTCTGTGTATGCGTAGGGTACATACCACTTCATAGTAATAAGTCATGTTAGACCAACTAATGGGTGGCATTGAATAGAGGGACTCTGTTTCAATCTTTTGCTTCATCTGGGGAGGCAGCTCTTTCAGTATCTGAACTTCATCTCTCAGTGAATTTACGAAATAATCCACATCAAATATATCTTGGAATTGGCTGTCATGTGAACCAAGATTTCAAAGGGGTCATTCCTATGGTGGTTTTATTACACCTCTAATTTTCATACTGTTGCTGCAGAAAAAACTTTTCAGGACTGAAATGTCAACAAAGCATTCTGATGAAATTTCAGACTCACCTGTGGTCATTCCAGAAGGAGGTATTATCCAGTTCAGGAACTATAAAGGTGACATTCAAATATCTGGCAACAGCAACCATGTCACAGATCTGCAGCACAAATATATAAATATATATTTATATATATCACCCAGAATGAGAAAAAGAGAGTGAAGGAGCCAGGGAGCTTTTGAAAATATAACTCATATATGCTATAGTAGTAAGTGATAAACTAAATGTGGAGAAACTTCTAGATATAGCAATTCTTACTCCAGCTCGCATTTGATTGAGTCCTCCATTAGAAGAAACCATTAGATACCCATTATTCTCATAAATCCCTGCATGCATGCGAGCAAAAGTCTGTAACTTTACATTCCATTCAACTATCTGTTTCTGAGTTCTTATAGGAGTTTAGAAGTTATGCTAAGTCCAAACTCTGTTGATAGATTGATGTGATTTTCAGTAGTTATAAAGAGCTTGAGAGACTGAGAAAGGAAATTGCATATATGATTGAGGGTTTTCAGGAAGTTTTACAGTGTGCTAGGAATATGGAAGATAAAGACACTTACTTTGAGGAGGAAAAGAATGTGAAATTGCAGAGTGATCAGTCTTGAAGAAGAAGGTGGGTTTGAACTCATCTCCAATGCCTTTACAGTAAACTGCAATAATGGTCCAAAGAAGCATGACACATGTGACTCTAAGTCCCCATGCCTTGAACTGTGATGAATTGGACTTATTGAACACCAACAGATTCAGATCATCACCCTTCTTCATATCTCCATGAAAAAACCCTTTTAATTTCTCAACTTTAAACCCTCCAAAACTGCCCAGTTTCTTCAGAATTTGAGCTTTGATCATCACTCCTAAGTAATTCATCTTGTTTTGATCACATCCCTTCTCCTTTGCTTCTGCTGAATCCTCAAAACCAATCTTCCTCTTTTCCATGCTTACTTATATCTGATATATTTTAAACTTGTTCCTATTTCTATATTTACAGAGCCAGCAAAAACAGAAGAAAACCTGATAGGTTATTAAGAAAAGAAAATGGAAATCAGAGAAATTTTTGAGGTTTTGGGAGTTCAAAGAGAAAGGGAATGCAATAAGAATGGAAGGAGCGTGATATGTACAAGAGTATTTAAAAGCAGAAAAACTTTTCCTTCTTTTAGAAGGCACGCATGGTCCAGTTATACTGTGATGTTGATAAAATTTAATTTATTTCCCCTTTGTCACAAAATTAATATAGTGCCTTCCTGTCATATTTTAATTTTAATGTTTCAAGTCCAATGTCAATGAAAAGATAAATGTGTTCAAGGACACTGGGTAATTTGCAAAGTTTCTTTCATATAATCTCATGAGTGAATATTTATAATAATTCAACTTTTATTTCATTAATCAAACAAGTTATTAGATTCTTAATTATGAGTAGTTATTAGTTACACTCACATAGGCGAGAAGATCTTACTAAACTGGGTGGTGCATTGGCCTGCATATTTTTAAATCTACTCAACTGCATTTTCTCTGTCTTTTTTTTTGGGGGGGGGGGGCTCTTCTTCCATTCAACCTTATGCTTTTGATTTTAATATTGCATCATTCTTTCCTGTTTTTTCCCTTCAGAATTAGATTTTCTCTATATTATTATTACTTTTAATCAGTATACTTGCTAAAACATAATCTTTCCGGTAAGGTGATCTGGTTTTTTGTAATTATTATTATACATGAAATATGGCTAGCCAATCATCCTATTTTATATGCACAATTATCAATTAAATACATAATATTTTGTTATAGTTATATAAAACCCTTAATCAAGAGTACTTGCTTGAGAGCGTCATGATATATATATAGAGATAATTAATCTTCGGACCCTTATAATTTCATTTAATTTTTAATTAGGTCCTTATAAATTTTTTTTTATTAGATCCTTTTACTTTCACCTGTTTTTAATTAGGCCCCTCTATTTTTTTTCTTTTTATTAGGTTCTTATAGTTTCACTTATTTTTTTAATTAGGTCCTTTGTAGTTTAAAAAAATTATTTATTAACTTGATTCATTAAAATTAATTTTAGTTTTAAATTAATAATCATATAATTAGACAAAATAATTAATATAATCTTTTAATATTTAATAATTAATCAGAATAATCAATTATACTTAACTATAAATTTTTTATAATTATATTCTAATTTTAAAAATTTTATTATTATAATTTGAATTTTATAATTATAAAAATTAGAATTGAAAAATAAATAATATATATCTTTAACTAAAAATTTAAAATAATATTAACATAAGATTATTATAATAATTTATTATTTATAGAATACTATTATTTATAGAATAAAGAATAAAAACTACAAGGACCTAAAATTAAAAATAAGACAAAACAATAAGTTCCCGATAAAGGAAAAAAATTATAAGGACTTGATAAAAAAACATGTGAAATTATAAGGACCCAATAAAAAGAAAAAAAATTATAGAAATTTGATTAAAAACTGATTGAAACTATAAGGACTTGCATATTAATTATCCCTATATATATATATATATATATATATGAGAACTATTTTATTTGGGGGTGGATGCTGGATGTTGAAAGAGATTTTTTTGGTGTATAGTGACAATCGAATTCAAGGTTGTGATTCAATGGAAGGGAATTTGAAAGAAAACATGGTGAATTGAGGAGTAAAGAGAAATTAAGAAGTTGAAAGTAATGTAAGAGGAACAAAGAGGGCATAGCATTTAAGAATTTGAGTGTCCATCATTCATTCAAAGATTAACGAGACTCAAATTAATTTGCTCCCTCCCTCTCTCTATGTACATAGACACATATACAATTAGAAAGAACACGTCTCTCCTTTTTTTATTTTTTGGGTCCTATTTATAAACTACTTCCAATATGTTTCATATAAATTAAAAAAAAAACTTAAACTTCATTTAGCTCTTCATTAAAATTAAACAACTTTTTAATTTTATCTCTATTTAATTTATATTACATCTCATAAATGCAAAAATTAACACAATAATTAATGAATGATAAAATTGTATATCCATATGAAAAATTTCTCACTTTATCCTATAAATAGAATAAAAAAAAATTTCTTTCTGTCTTGTAAATAGAACCATAAGAGTGTGTTATTTCACCATACGCCCCTTTTGCAGCCTCCTTTTTGAGTAAGAATGGAAGAATTTTCATTCAATCAACAAAATACATCATACAGGAACAGAGCTTCCTTACACACAACAATTAAGGCGGTGGAATGATGTACACAAGACTAAGATAACAGTTCCTACACTTTGTTCGCTGTCACAAAAATTTAGGTAAGTTGGATCTTATTTTCATATGATTCCTCCCATAGTTAATATAAGAAGTAAATAACTAATATACGAATATTAAAAAAATTAATTAAGTAATTTTTATTAAAAGAATTGGTCTTCGTTTAGGCAATTTGTGTGTCCATGCTATTTCATTTTTTTGTCATGCAGCCTGAAGGCCGAAATCTGGAATGAAAACCAAAACAACACTGAACAATTATTCGAGTCCCCATCTCAACTCATGTTTTAACTTTTAAAATTTTAAAACGACTCAATATATCAGTATATATATAGTACCACTCTGGTTTTAAATATAAAACTCATTTTGTAATATAATTTACACTACAAAATAGATCTTATATTTATGACCGGAGTAGTATAATTAATAGCCATATTACAACTCCCCTTAAATTCTGTATCATAAATGAGAAAATATGCCTTATTTTTTTTAGAAAAATTGTTACTCCCATAATTCAGACCCACCCCCCCCCCCCCAAAAATCTTGAACCCAGTTACCTGTACAGGCCCTTTCATCAGTTTTGGGTCAAAACTAAAAAGCCCAACGTCCAATTCACCTCCACGTTGTTCAGCGAGTCCAAACTCCCAAGTCCCTCATCCTTAATGGTCAAAAAACAGTCCCTCATCCCACAGAGACAGGTGAATGAAAAGAACACACCTTTTTCATTATTAAACAAGGACCCAATCCAGCATTAGCGATCAGCATACAAAAATCTGTATTCGGTCCCCCATCTGTTTTTCTGTGGCATAATATTGGTAGTAGCCTGGATGTTCTCTCATAAATCCTAATCAACAAAAGTAACTCCAGCTTCAAGAACTCTCATTCATAAATCATGGGGATGTAGCAAAACATAAAATATCAAGTGAATTAATTAACAATATCGGATCTCTCGACAAGCTTATATCTTATTGTTTGAAACGTTATATAAGAACCATACATAATAAAATTAACAAAATAATATCACCTGTACAACGCAAACTGCCACTATATAAGGGTATTACCAAGTTAAATAAACAACGAATCACAATTCCCGTCCTCAAATCTATACCGCCATAAATACTACACTAGAGACTGCTAAAATTTTCTCTCTCTTTTTACCAATCACCGATCAATCTGTCCGCATCAAGCAGCAAACTTCAGTTTCTCACTTTGGAGTATTAATCGAAAGCAATTGGGCATCCTAATTGGTAGCATCAGATGTTTTCTTCGCATGCTTCTCCTCTTCAACATCCTAAGAATTTCAAGAAGAAAAAAAAAGTGCAGCTAGTTTTCAGACAAGAGTTAACGAAGCAAATTCCATAAATAAACCTTGGGATTGCATCCTTAAAACACAAGATTTAACGAAGCAGATTCCATAAATAAACTAGCTTTCAGAACCAGCTATCATATTTTAACAGGAAAATAAAACCATAGGGAAGTTAGATCATTAATAAATTAAAGAAAAATTGAAACGCAAAGTGGATTCTAGATCTAAGAGCACTTACTGAATTGCCAATCTTGTCAAAATCATCATCAAGGCTGCCTTCGCCATCATCTGAAAGATGGACAAGATAATCAATATGATGTAGCGAGCCAGAACGATACCTTCACACATAGCTCATCGTAACAGAATGAATTATGGTTATTTTTTCCCCTGATAAATGAGTGGTGAATTTTGGCCCCAAAAAAAATGACTGGTGAACAAAGTAATCTGTCAAAATTTATGAATGCCCAACGTATTCAAAGATAATCGATTCTCAGGGGCTATAAGTAATCAACAATCAAAAGAGGAATAGCACATGCTCTTGCCCAAAATTATATCTACATGACAAGAATTAGCGACCCATCACCCACCAGGGAGCAAGTTTCTACAACCAAATCTGAAACTTAAGAAAGTATATTCAGACCTCCATCACTGTCTTCAAGATCGCCAAGAAGAAATGTATCCAAATCTTGCTCAGTTGAGGATGAATTAGATGATTTGCTCTTCCCACTTTTCCCAGTTGCCTCTACCTTTTCAGTTCCTCCAGTAACAGCTGTTTTCTCTACCTTATCATCCACTTTCTGCTCAGCTGCTGCTCGGAGGGTAACCTCCTCCAGATAGCGCTTCTCATACCTGATAGTAATTACAAACTTATAGAGTGATGGTAACTTTAAAATGTAACAAAATTGTCGTCATACACAAATCTCTGAATGGTGGCAGAGTTGTGGCAAATTAGAATATGATATTTTTCTTTTCCAACTTTTAATTTTCTGGGCATCCTTCTAAAAACTAGAAAGATGTACCATTCATTCATTATCATCTACCACATTTTAAGTTTGTCCAAAAGTGACTACATGAGAAAGCTTAGCCCAGCTTCCTCATATCTGCACAAAGGAACATAGTATTCCGTATGGCTTTTAAGATATACATGAGAAGGAAGAAGCTTCAGCTTGAGTCGATTTTACTCTATAAATGCGGCAATTAGAGTGTAGACACAATGGCATCAGTCATCAGAAGCAAGTCCCATATCAGCCTTCACTTACTAGATTCTAAATGTTTATCTGAATTTATCAACATTGACATACCTCCTTACGGCCATCCCCAAAGAGTCAACTCTGGCAGACACTAATAGCAAAACTAAATAAAAGCAAAAGCAGGAATGCCTAAGTAAGGTGCATGAGCCTCTTATTCGTAATTGGCAACAGATTCACAACTCTTCAATATGAATCCCCACATTGCCTGTACATTCCCCAGATCACCCTGGATCATAGAGGAACTATAAATATTTACTTTTAGGCAGAAATTGTATGGCTGGAAACCAAAATGTTAGGTTCATATGAAGAAATGTTATGATAAGAATGCAATTTCATTAGCTTTTAGACATAGCTGATACAACTTAAGCTTGAAGTTTTTATATAAGGTTTGAAAACAAAGAAGCTGACGGTGCAGCAAATTAAGCAAGATATCTCAAACTCAACCCCCGCCTCCATCCCAGAAACAAGCTAGTTCATAAAAAATGCCAAACTGGACTTTCAGTTACATATGATTTAATCGTTGTCATCCACTTAACTCATTGCTCTGACAATAGCAGTCAGTCTATCTTGCATGAGCTTTTCTAATTATCCATCAAAGGAATGAGGCTTCAGCTCTATATTTTCATCTTTACTGAACACTTTTGGAACTAACAATACTTCTATTCTCCCTATAGATATATTCAAAGCTGCCCAGCCCCCAACCTTGCATCATGTAACATTGTAACCATTATTAAAAAGATGCTGTGATTTTAAATGGCAGCATAATTATCAAATGGCCAATTCAAGTCATCTAAGATATCTCCATCGAAGTGTATGTTTCCATACATCCTAATGTTCATGAGGATAGAAAGAGCAGTGAAAATGTTAATACTTTAGAAGCAATTTTCAATGCATAGCCACAGCAATCAAACATTGGAATGGAAAAGTTGTACCATTACATATCTCCCTTTTTCATATTTCTTTTTTAAAATTGTTCCAGAATAATTTGATCAACATTAGAAAAACAGCAAGCAGGAAAGGAAAAAAAGATGATTATCATCACATACTCAGTGAATTACAGAGCTGCACAAGTGCCAACATAACACGTAAATTACTCTTTAAACAAGTCATGCCAGCAAAATGACTAATCAATATGCTATGGTACTTACGGAGCCACATGAGTGTTCACTAGTGTGAAATATATCTTCCAGAAGTGTCTTTCTTTCATAGCACGGGGGCATAATTCATATCTCAACCTTGAGATTTCCTGGGGAAAAGAAACAAATGTAAAAACTCGCAACTACTAGGCCAGCAATAATTCAAGTACATACATACATTTGGCAATTCCCACGTTACTTGGGTCTAAGACCTTTAAACTTTTTGCTGGAATGAAATAGTAACATTGTACTAGCAGGGAACAGAAAACCGAAAACTGGACTTATGTGGCAGAGGATAATAGTAAGAGGTCCAGTCCATCAATTTTCCCCCGTTTTCTGTAAAACACCACTGAAGGTACTACGTTATTGGAAATCGTCCATCTCAAACGGATTGACAATGTATGACAGCATAGATGATAATATCAGCGACTTTGAAACGGTTATTATAAGGAAAAAGGACACAACTGTTAGCACAGAGAGACCTGATAAATGGTTGAATCTCTTAACCCCGCATCAATATTTCTTTTCCATGAAAAGAAAGTTTGGCTAGCACAACTAGCACATATATTTGGCGGGAGTTCTAAGGAAACATCAGAAATGAAAACACAAAATAATCAACAATTTAACACAAGTTCAAAGAAGAGGGATTCTTTTCTCTCACTGCATTTCTGCCTTTGTCAATACGTGCATCAAACAAAGGAAGTTAGGATCAAGTAAGTAGACATGAGTTGAATCGTATTTCACACCACATGCTATCAATCAAGAAATTTCCTAGCTGCACAGAGGTTTAAAATGATATGCCGCTCTTCTAATTAGAGGCTTTAAGGACAATCTATAAGCAAATGAAATACGAAAAATTTCCTCACAGTGAAATGGAATTAACTAAATGTAGATGTGGACAACAGAGAGAGATCTGAAGTCTGCAATGGGGATACAGAGAGATCCAATACATGACGCACCTCGGGGTATAAAAACAGAATTACCTTAACAGTGGTTAGAACAAGAGTGGCATGCTTCTCCTGAAATTCATTAAGATCTTTTCGAACGTTGGAGGCCGCCGTAGTCACATCAGAAGCCTCCGGTTCATCTGCATTACCCAGCAAAACCGACAACCACTAAATAAACACAGGATAACAGATAATCCAAGAAATGCAAAATGGGAATTCTCAAATACCAGATTTGAGGGGGAAGTTCTGGAAAGTGCTGGAGGTAAGTCCCTTAACGAAGGATCTGAGCTCGTCGGTGACACCTAAGGTTTGGAACTCAGACTGAGAATAGGAAGGTGAAGAATCGTTAAAATTGGGAATGGAAAGGGGCACAGAGAGCTGAGGAGGGATGATATCAGAGAAGGACTTGATTTGATCTGCTTGTTTGAGAGCAGCAGTTTTGATTTGATCGGCTTTTTTGGAAGCTTCAGCGGCTAATTCTTTAGACTTCTTGGCGGTTTCGGAGACCAAATCGGCGAATTTGGAAGAGTCGGCAAGGGTTTGGGATTTCTTAGCAGCTTCTTCAGCGAAACTCTTAGCTCTCTTCCAGAAGTCCTCCATTTTCGACTCTGCTTCTCAACCGGGATTTGTATTCGGTTGCTCAGTGCCAAATGGGATTTAGATTGTCAGCCAAGCGAACGTCGTCATATGAGGAGCAACGTACAACAGCGTTTACGAGGCGGAAGGCTTTCGCTACACGACATCGTTTTTGGGATGGTGAAGGAAAAATGAAGTACTCCTCCGGTCCTTATTATAAGACCCCATTTGACTTTTTATTTGGTCCTAATTATAAGACCCCAATCCATTTTGTCTCTTATATTTATGCATTTTTTTCCAATATAATCCTTCTAATAATGATAGTTTTAGCCAATATACCTAATTAGCAAGGATATTTTAGGAATGACAACACTTATTTATTATAAATAACCAACTTAACTTACTTCCTTAATCTCCTCAAATAAGTCAATTGGGTCTTATAATTAGGACCGGAGGAGTAATTAATACTAATATACTCCTCGGGTCAATAATACAAACTTAATTATTAAGTTAATTTTGATTTTAAATAAAAGACCTATTTTTTATATTTATCAAATTTTTTAAAATTATCTTTATGGATACTTCTTCAATAATAGTCAAGTAGAAGAGAGAATTATAGTGTTTTAAGAAAAACACGTTATATATCTTATAATTAACTTATCTAACTTTCTTAATATAATCAAATTAGTTAAATAAGTCTTATATTAAGGACTGAAAGAGTATTACTTTAATCTTTATTAGAAATTTTATATGTTAAAAATTAAACCACAAATATTAAAAATTAGGATATGAGTATGAATATATCAATGTATGATACTCATCCGTTTCTTAATATAAGATATATTTAACTAATTTGATTAAATTAAAAGTGGGAGGTATATTAGTTAATTATAAGAAATGTGACATATTTTTTCTAAAATATTATAATCATCTTTCTTAAAATTTGTAATCAATGATATTATTTATAAATTAGAAAAAATAACTCAAAGTTTAATTGTATAGGAAATTGTATAAGAAGTGTTACTAGTTTATATATTATAGATCAAAAACTATATTTTATTGGCTGGCAAAAAAATAGATTTTAGTGGAATATTTTTATTAGTTGTGACATACTACCTCCCGTTCTAATTATAAGACTTTGTTAACTTTTTTTTATAGACTACAAATGAAATCTTATTATTAAGATAAGAAATAGTATGTATAATTTGTGGTGCATAATCTCGTTAATTGAAAAAATTGTTTAATTCTTTCTTTTGCCATCCATTTAGGCTTTAGCATATAGAGTACTTCTCCAATTTTTAATATAAGACCTATTTAACTAATTTGATTAGATTAAGAAAGTTAAAAAGTTAGTTAATTATAAGAAATGTGACACGTTTTTTTCTAAAATACAATAATCATCTTTCTTAATACCCCATCTTCCTCTCCTACTTGATTATGGTTGAGGGAGTATACATATGAGTAATTTAGAAAAAAAATTGATAAACATAAGAAATAGGTCTTATATTTAGGACCAAAACTAACTGAACAATTGGGTCTTATATTAAGAATCCAAGGAGTATATGGGAAGACAGTTTTGTGTAGACACGGAGTATATTGCTTTTTAACAATTCATTTTTGTTACTCCTCCTCCGATTCTAAATATGGGACCTAAATAACTAACCTGAATATATTAAAAATATTATTTTAATTATTTAATGTGATATTTTTTTCCTAAAATGTCCTAATATTCTTTCTTAATTTACTACTTGTCTATCAACAATAACACGTTTTTTTTTTTCAGAATATTATATTTTGAATGGTAATATGATTTTATCAACAATGCACTGAGTAAATTATATTAAATGTGAGATTCGACCGACCCGACTCAATATCATCCGTGTATTACAAAATTCTGGCTGGTAGTTGATTGATTTCAAACAAGTACTCAATTTCCCTATAAAAAGCATGCTGCGTGCTCTCTCCCCCCCCCCCCCTCCCCCTCCCCCTCCCCCCCATCAATCTCTAAATATTATTTTTAATTTTAATATCTTCTCTTGTTTTTTCATATAGAAGTTATATGGGGAATGAATTTGATTCTAAATATGAGATCCTAATCCTATTTATCTCAACATTTCTTTTTTTCCTTAAACTAGTTTAGCTAATTTATAAACTGATATATAATCTAATATTATATAAAATACTTTAAAAAATTATGTCACATTTATTATAATTAAATGATTTATTTGATTTTTTAATGTACTCAAATTATTTGAGTAAATAATATCCTTTATATATTTTTATTTTTAAAATATATAACATTATTACTTTGCTACAATTTAATATTATAATATTACATTTTTTTTGGTAATATTTTTATCGTAGAAGTCTAACATTTTTTATAATTTATTATCAGGATATAAAGATAAACCTTAAATTATTTTTTCATACATAAATATAAGAAAATTTTTAGAAATCATAAATTATTATATTAAATAAACAACTAAATTAATTGAAGTGGGGGTGAAAATAACTGGCCATTTCCCAACGAAATAAGCGATCTAATCAGATGATATTCTGATACTGTCACTTTTGGTACGGGATTTTTGGAAGGGAGGGGAGGGGAGTTGATCCCCTCCCCTTGTTTGGCTGGTGTAATTTTTTAAGAGGGAAGGGAAGCCCCTCCCCTTCCCTCGTTTGGTTAAGATGTTTTTTAAAAAGGGGAGGGATTCTTCTCCCCTCCTCTTCCCTTCTAGCCTCCCCTCCAAAAGTGAGGTTTTTTTGGAGGGAAGATGAGAGATAATATTTTAATTCCTTGTATACCCTTTTGATTTGTTAACCTCTAATCAGTCGTAAACATTTCTACATAAGAGAGTTTTTTTTTAGCATCTAACAAGAGATTATTAAGATAATTGTCTCCAAAATTAGTGAGCATTTGTAAACTTTTTTTTTCTCTTCTTCTAATTCCAAGAGATTGTTGGTATTTTCTTTCACCTTCAAGGTCTTTTCTCTGATTGAAATCTATCACTCGTGACTTTTTATCTTGATATTTTATAAGTGTGTGACTATGTATTGTAAATCAAAATTGGTGAATTGTATTATATATATATAGTTATATCTTAACAAAATAAAAAAGTGAGAAAATTCATTTAAATTTTATGAGGTTAAAATAGTCCATTTTTTATCAGAACAAAATAAGGTATTATTAAAATTACTCCCTCCCCCCCCTCCAATCAATCCAAACAGGAGATCATTAAAATCCCTCTCTTCCCTTCCTCCTCCCTCCCCTCCCCTTTGTAGCTACCCTCCCCTTTTCTCCCCTCCCCTTCCCTTGATTAAAATCCCTCCCCTCTCCTTCCCTCTATCGAGCCAAATACAGCGTTAGAGAGAGGTTTGACTCGTTCAAATTTTACATTCTTATATTTTATTTTAATTTTTAGTTTTTGAAAAGCTTTCTATTGTATCTTTATACGAGACACGACTCTAAGACTTCGTCCGGTTTGGAAAAAAAAAAATGGAGGGAGGGAGATGGAAATAAAGTTTAAATGAATTCAATTTCAAAAAATTAAAGAAACAACATTAAAAAGTTTGATCATTTTTTATTATTTTATCTTACATTTTTATTTGATTAAAATTTTATAATCTCATTTTTTATATTTTTTTAATTGAACTCATTAAAAAAAAAATTTCCTCATTTCCTTCATTTTTCTGGTAACTGACACTTTTTAGTATTTTTCCCCTCTCTTGATGAGCTAGCATGATGCTCAAGTGTTTTCCACACTTAAATTATAATTTTTCTCTTATTATCAATCAATTCACATGAAAAACCATAATTATCTTATATCCATTTAAATAACAACAATAATAACAAGTAATATCTCCTGTTTTTAATATAAGAGTTAACTTGACTTTTAATTTGATGCTAAATACATGATCTTAGTCCATTTTATATTTCATATTTATCTTTTTTTAAAGTAGTTCTCGTAAAATTGCACATATTAAAGATTCTATCAAATTATAATTCTCGCTAATACACATGATAGTAAGGGTATCTTATAAAAAAACCTATTTATTGCAAATAACTAACTCAATAAACTTTCTTAATCTATTCAAACGAGATAATTAGCTCTTATATTAAAGACTGGATGTGGTATTATTTGGTGAGTTTGCCTATATGAATCATACAATGGGTTGTTAATACTTAATTACACAATCAAAATCTCAAATCCAAATATTCATTAATTAGAGGCATGGATCTTACAACTAAAATTCGGATTTGCTGAGATTTCATTTTTTAAATATTTTTTTTACGTAGAATAAAATCCCATTATAAATTTGTGGTAATGTTTTAATATATGTATATATATACAAAGAGAGAGAGTTTAAGTTATACAATCATAAAATGTTATATTCTAGTGTTGTTTATATTCCTCTTCTTTTTTTTTTACTGTGTATTTATATATCTCAACGAATATCTATCATTAAATATACTACGTCTGGTTCTTAATATAAAAATTAGTTTAATTTTTATTTTAGTTTTAAATATAAAACCTCAATTCTTTTTGTCTTTTATATTTATTTATTTATTTAAGGCAACCCTTATACACTTGATTAGCAAGTATATTTTAAAAAAGACAACCTCTATTTGTTATAGATAACTAACTTAACTAATTTTTTTAATCTATTTAAATTAGTTAACTAACTCTTATATTAAAGATCAAAGGCAGTACTATAATGTCAAGGAAATTTTTTTGGTTATATAAAGTTTATGTCAGCTGGGTTCCAGGAAATCACCAAGACCAGGATATACTTCTAGATTCAAAAAGCACTTACAGATATATTTACAAATACTACCTATCAATAAAGTTTTTATGTCGACAATAAGATTCGAACTCATAACTTTATAAATTATAAATTAACTCCTTATCAATTGAACAACTCCTGTTGTAGCGTCGAGGAAAATTGTCTTCAAATATAATGTTTTCGTTGAGTGTGTGACAATAAATGGACGTTAATTTTGGCTGACCCAAAATTTTGTTTCGCACAATCACAAAAACTGCGACCCACACTCATCCCAGTCCAGTTACATTCTAAAACGCTATAAACCACAAGCCCCTTTCTTCTCCCTCT